GGGAGGCAGAAAAGAAGAAAAAAACACACCAGAAGGCATTACTTAACTGCACAAAACGTGTTTATCAGGGTAATACAGTGGAGCCTCGAGTGATGAACAACCCCATCTACGAGCGTTTCCGGTACCGAGGAGCGAGCCACACGCAGAATATTTACTTTTCCTTGATGAGCTTCCGCTCAACTAACGATTTGTCAGTGTTCGTGTGCCCACCGTTGAGTCTTGATCCTATGGCGTGGTCCCTAGTTCGCCTGCAGTCAATCAGTGGAGTGAGAGTTTGATTGGTTACGTTTCGCAAGATGAACTCGCTGCCAGAGTGGATTAAACTGGTTAAACGAGATTGGACTGTAACCTGTTGCCACGGCTGCGACTAATTAAATGATGAGGTGAGTTCACCAGCCTCCTGTTATCGATAACTTACTGCCGAGCACAAAGAACGGACGGAGTACGGAAACAGATATGTAAAGGGATTACAAGTGGAACTACCACAGTCCAAAGTATCTACCAAAAAAGATAGTTAGGGACTCAAAAAGGAAACAATTAATGTGGATAGATAAATGTACAGTAGACTTGCTATATCATGAAATGTCACCTAAAATTTTAAATTTCGTTAACGATTAGAAAAGATTACTTGCGGTAGATTGCCTAACCCATATCTGTTACTGTTATCTGACTATGTCTCTTATGACTAATCCGCGACGGATCTCGAAACGTCAGGTGAATAAAAGTATTGTCCCAGCGATCGAGTCTTCTTCCTGTCATTTTGTGTTGTTATTTTTGCCTATTGAATTACCTTGAGGCACAAAAAGCTAGTTACTAAACAAGGGTTTAGTTCAAATCAATGTATTGAGGGAAAAATGGGCAGAATTGGGCAAAATCCAAAATTGCTTGATGGCCAAAAAGATTCCTAGGCTATTAAACGCCGCGGATAAAAACCCCTTGTTCATGCGTTTTCTGCTATAAACGACCCATAACATACACCAGCAAAGTTTTACATATATCCTTTCAGGTAACGGAGAATGTTGTTTTGCGTTTATGAAAATCACATAAAGGTCCAAGTATGAGAAACAGTCATGTTTTCGAGGAAAGAAGGGTGGCTGCAGTTTAAAAAAAATGTTTTTTTGCAAATGTACTATGTTTTGGGCAATAAAAGCAAGTGATTGACTTTTAACTAAAATAAACATGGCGAAATAATTTTTATCTAAGGTTGATTGTGAATGAAAACGGAAACTTGAATCGGAACGGGCAGAAGGTAAACAGTTTTCACAAAATCCAACGATAAGACGATCAAAAACCGACAAGACAGCGAGCCCGTGGAGCAGTGATTAGAGCGCTGGACTTCTAACTGACAAGGTCGCGCGTTCGAAACTCGAGTGCGGCACCAATTTCTGGGGCAACACTTGGATCTGCGTATGACTTGCTGACGACGGCTAATAAGCCAGAAACGGCCATCCTGGTCTTCCTTGTCTTTGTCGGTAATGTCCTTCTTCCTATGTAAATATCGCATTGGTATGAGCAATGTAGCAGATATACGAACGCCTCCCCCATACCTGTGTAACATACTCCTGTGGCAGATAAGCCAGGTCAGGCAGAGTGGCGTCTCCACTGCCCGGGGAGGCTGACCAGATGGGCAGGCGTGGTACCTGAGAAAGCAGGTCATTCACAGGCGCCATGGCAACCCTGATGGCCATCGAGACAGAACCCTGACAGACAGCCGTAGCA